AGTCATAATAGAAAATGCAGTTGTTTTTAACCGTTGTCATCACAGTATATATATATATATGAATATGTTTCAAAACTTAATCAGAGGCCATACTGCAAATGAACTTCAGTCAAGGGTCAACACAAGCGATTCATAAGGCCGCTCTCGCTGATTCGTCCTGAAGGAAAACATAATGAAAAATAATTTATATCATTAAATAACGAAATACGTTTAATTTTCATAAATCACGGTGAATATTATACACACGCATACAAACATCTGAAAAACTCAACATGATATATGCCAAACATTTCCAACATTTCTTATAATTACCTATAACCGATGGTTTATAAAACTTCAACTGCTTATTTCAAGAAGTGAAATGATAACAATAATATTAAACAAATCATACGTTATGAGAAATCTGTTAAACACAAAATGGTAAACATGGCCAATTAATTTTATTTTAAAGTGAAGACGTTTTCCAAAACTTCTGCAGACAACTATGAGACCCACACAACTAAGAATGTTTTAATGCCTAACGAATTGGTAGAGTTTTAATATTTTTTAGCCATTCTGCATCTTTTAAAACTATTATGTAAACTGTAAAGTTTCTTTTTTTTCCTCAAAAAATATAGCTTAGCTGTAAGTTTTAAAGCTTATAACGCTAATATCGCGTTTCGATGCCTGCGATTGGCAGAGCAAAGATAGCCCATTTGTAGCTTTGTGCTTAAAAACAAACAAAATTAATTAGCATAAAAAATAAAGCACGATGTGTTCAAACCATTTATAATAAACAGTTACTCTTAAGCCAAGCAAAAATGTCAAGGTATGAAAAACGAAATTTAAAGAATATTTGTCATTAAGGTCAACAAAGAGAAAGTGGTCGTTTTTATGTACATTGTGATACCACAGTTGTAAATATTTCAGCTAATTTAGCAAAGGTAAAATAGTAAATTTAGCTTGTTGATACATCTCTTGACAACAAAACAGAGTGATTTAATGCTTTTGATCTTAGGGTCAGAACCTCGTATACGAACATAAAATGTTTCTAAATTCTTTCCATTCGTGTATTGATACGAATGGAAATACTTTATGGATAAGAAGCACAGGAATGAAAAACACTAGCAATCCTATTTAGGTTATGACGATGGTAATTAAGTTTTATTATTCGTTAAATTTCATTATTACTTAAGTGTAATGAACTTTATGAATTTGTTAGGATAATAAATGTGTCATAAAATGTGTGTAAATGCATGATTTTAAGCGCAAGGACAAGGAGACAATCCACATAGAAATATTGCACCTTATGCAGAATTGTAATATAATCGATACTTAAATAATTTAATAGTAAATTTCTATTTTGGTTCCTTCCTTTAACAAGTAATAGATGTATAGTAATATGTTACCTATTTACTCACGTTAATCAAATGATATATTAACATGTTGTAATATATTAGAGTTATGTATTGTTTCTTTTGAATACTGAGCTAGAATTTTATAATCAAAGAATAAACTTCGACGTGTTCATTTTTAATTCGTAGTTACCTGTCTACTATAGACGTTACTGGTACGCTTGTTTCTTCCCCTCCTTGTGAGGGTGTGTATGTCAGAGGTTCCTGACTGTTGTTGGTTGTCACTAGAGGGCGGGACTGGTAAAGTATCGTACGGAGTGGCGTATGGATGAAGTTCCTCCTCTAGTAGAACAAAGGTAAAACATTTAATTTTTTACATTTTATGGAAACTTGTTAAATTTATAAAAAAGAAAACATATTGTCCAAACTAAGATATAATAAACGGAAAAAGTAAATGCATTTCTATATCACATCGTATTATTAGTTATGACTAACAAATTAAGAACAAAATATAATGAACATCAAAAGACTCACTAAATCTTGAATTTAGAGAGACGTAAGATCACATTTAGCAACTGAAATTATAGCACACATGGGAAAAATATATTACTTTAAATTTTCATCGATTTTAAAAAGCTGGAAATGGCGGAAGTGAGCTCACATCTCTACCTGGTCGTGGACCGAACGTTGATTGGTTCGGAGGACAGTGATTGGTTGCTTGGGAATAGGGTGATGAACGCTGGGTTCCATCTTCGCTTGATACATAGTCTACAGCTGGCGAGCTTCCAATGTCCTTCATTTGTATCATATCTTCGGTAGTCTTCCCATATGCCTGATTTTCTGTCAAACCAAGCTAAGAATTCACTACTTTTAAAAACTGTTTACTTACCTTAAAAACGACTTCAATGGAAAATGTTACCAAAAGTATTGCATTTAGAAACAGGTTTGATATGTTTGAAAGATGGCTTCACATATTATAAATCAGTGTGTCACAAATAATTTACTTAAAAAAGGAATATTTAAAACATTACTTAAGTATGTATTTCTATGCAAACTTAAAATTGATAGAATACACATACACATATGTATGTAAATATATATATATATCCAAAGATACTGGAACAACAACCTTCAATTAGTAATAACCATCTCCATTAAATTTGCACGCGAATCCCATGATGCACTGCTAATTAGAGTTTTTGAAGGCAGAAACTGCATAGCAAGTCAAGATAACACGGGAAAAAGGCTGATGGTATGTGTTCGAGGCATTTCAGTTTGCCTACTGAAATCCAAACTCAAGTGTTCTATGCAAACTCTGAAATGTGTTGTGAAACAAACATGCACGTCTTGCATTAAGGCCATTACCCAAAATGATAGTTCAGAATTGCAGACATGCACATACACTAGGCACACGGAGCTCTTTGAGATGGAATTCAGCAATGGAAAATAGCCCATATGCTGCTCATGATAATTTTGACTAAAATGCGCGACGTTCATGGTATCTTGAGAATCGAAATTTCATCACGTAGAGCGATAAATCTTGCTTTTCTTGTTACTTTGGGTAGACATGACTGAGCTGGAGAACGTTCAATACGAATATGAAGAGCGGTGGGGTAGTATCGTTAAATGAGGCTGTTTAAGTTGATTGGTACAGTGTTGAAATAGCCATTGTGCATGGTAGTATTGTATCACTTCAGACAATGCGCACTGCATCCATTGACGACAATGCACTATGCTATGCTGCAATTCTTGCCACCAGTGATTTGAGACAAATAACTTCCAATATCTGTCTTAGATAGTCGGGAGGCCTGACATGAATCTAACTAAAACTTTCGGACGGTTTCAAATATCACCTGATGGAGAGAACCCAAAACTTTACTCACTTGGAGATGCTTTGCTAGCGAAATGATGTAGTATTTCATCAGACATTTACTCACGATTGATAACTGTTGGTAACATATTCCATTGTAATTAATTCCATAAAATGAACTCACTTTCTATTAAAATGGGTCTCCAGTAACGGAAAATGCCACCCCTTCTCAAAGTATGATGTCCCATTCTTCTTGTTCTTTTGATTTTATGATATTCAAGCAAAGCCACTCAAGGACTATCTGCGCTATCCAACTGATAGACTAGAGGGAAGGCAGCTAGTCAACAGCACCCAGTTCCAGCTCTTGGATTATCTTGTTTGATCAAATAGTGGGATTTGACAATCACCCTTATAAAGCACCATCGGCTCAAAATTAAGAAACGTGAATATTTTCTTTAAGGTAAGGAGACACAAACATTAAGCCCGCAGATACACTGTCCGGCACGCTAACTACAGGGTCACGCTCATCCCACTGTCCCAATGCTTTTCTGATTGTGTGTATGTATGCTGTGGGTCTACATAGCTTGAGTCATGAAATCCAGTTCTATTTTATTTTGTTGTTCGCATAAACAGGTTTTGTACCTTGATATTTGAAATGATATCCTCTAATTAAGTTTCTTATGTCTAGGATGACTAACGCAACTAAGAATAATGTAAACTGACGGATTTTAACCCCTTCATGCAAGAACTGTAACCCCACGCAAATAGTACAATTGTTTACTCTCACTAAGTCACCCTTATCATTTAGAGTAATTAATTATTTATAGCATATCAACAAGACTATTTATTGTTAAAATACGTTTTTTTGTGTGTTTTTATCCCATTTTTTTAATTATTCTTATTGTTTGAACCAGTTATAAAATTGCACAGTAATTAATCTATATCTATGCTCGATATAACTTTTGTCAACACTAATATTAGGTTACTGTGTTATAACAAAATAAAAGGGTTCTCATTTTCAACTACTTTATCACAGTATTGCTGATTTCATTTCGCTAGACGTTATCCCTTTGTTTTATTAAAATTTAGTAGCATTTAATCAAAAATGGTTTTAAATTCTGTAAGAAATATCATCCCTAACGACACAGGTTTGATATAAAAAAGCCTTTGGGTTAAGAACTTCGATATATTAATTCGAACATGATTTGAATTAACTATCTGCTTAGTTTGTGGGTTGTAGGAAGCAAAGGAATCGTCTAAGAATATAACCCACTCCTACAGTAAATTGTACTGAACTATTAATATTTTTGATAATTTGGTGGAAACTTTCAATATCATAGTTATATCGAAAATAAAAACAGCAACGTCTCTCCTCTATTTAACCTCAGGAAGTTCATTCATGTTATATTTCAATGCTATATAAGATGTTAAACTATTGAAATAGCTCATTACTATACAGCGTATAAATATTTTTGGAGCCATTTTCGTTCCCAAAAGTACTCTAAATACTTTTTGGTACATCTTATTGCCAAATTAAAAACAAAACAAAACAAAACAGTTGGCTAATAGCAACTTCCAACCTAACACAACTACCATCTTGATAAATATTAAAGAAGGTTAGTTTCATAGTTTCATGTATTTATACACTTTATAGCATAAGAATGGCTAGCTAGCACTTGGGTATGAAGCTACTACATCGAAAGACACTGAAGACTGATTGGGTTTAAACTTTTTTGAGAATATTGTCACTTACAGGTATTACTTGATACCTTAGTAAAGAAGGGTTTAAAAGCTTCATCTTCATCTTCCTTAAATAATACAGATATATTAAAGACTTCCTTAAATGCGCTATCTTTTAATACCATCTATAATGTGCTTCAAAATGTTTTTGGTGTGATTCGTAATAATACAGTTAAGCACATTCGAATTCTCTACTTGTTTCTTTTTAAAAAACTATTCGAAGGAGTTGATGTAACCTTTTTTCAGCTTAAATATAAATAAAAAAGCAAAAAGTTTATTTAAAAAGAGGACTTTATAAAAGTATCAGTTCAAATCGAACTACTTTATTTTGAAGTCTAATTTTTTAGGTTAAAAAAAGTGACTTGCAATTCATTATTTCATAATTCAACAAGTTTATCAACTCTTTGAAACTCAACATAATAGAGGTAGCCCTCCATTGGCTCAGTGGTACGTTTTAAGGCTTATAACGCAAAATACCTGGTTTCGACAGCCGTGGTGGGCATGGCACAGATAGCCCATTGTGTAGTTTTGTGCTTAACAACAACCGAACGAAGCCAAACCGCATGACAGACGTGGCTTAGTAGTTTCTAAGGTTCTGGACCGCAATATACTATATTGAGCGTGCTGCGCATTTTTAGCCATAAACGTTTTGTAAGAGTTATAATAAATCCTGCTGTTCGTCTGAGAGTTGACGTGTAGACGGCGAGGGCTAAATATTAGATGTACTCTCTATTGTCAACAGTTCTAAATTAGGGATGAACTATTATGGTTCACCTGACCTGGTAGTTTAGCTGATATGTCCTAATAAGGTGTTGTTAAGATTGAAGATATGAAATGTATTTCAAATTCCGCCAGTAATTATGTTTTCTTTCACTTAGGTTGATATGTTAACAACAGAGTAATTAGCTTTAATTTTTCAACACTCCCTATTAAAATGGGTCTCCAGTAACGGAAAATTCCACCCCCTTCTCAAAGTAAGATGTCCCATTCTTTTTGTTCTTTTGATTTTTTGATATTCAAGCAAAGCCACTAAAAGGCTATCTGCGCTATTCGCATTAATTGTGTAGGTAATGATTTCTTCAATGTAATAACTTTCTATCTGAAAATTTTAAATTATTGTTCTCTTGAACTTCTATTAACTTAATGAAATATCCTGTTGATCTTATTATAAGTTCTACTTAATTCTTGAACTCATACAAAAACTCACTGAATATATGTAGACGCATAAAGCAAGCTTCGCGAGTGTTAAATTGATTTTTCTTTCTTTCACAACAAGAGTATGGTTTGGTCCTGTGGCAGAGCTCTGAATTTCGGAGCAATCGAGTCGAATCCAAATAAGGAAAATATAATAAAAAACAATGTGTCTCAATTCTGATTTTTCCAGTATTTGTACTTGTGGCAAAGTTATCTAAGTCTATCTACCGCTGTACCTAATTTTGAGCTACTGATCAAAAGCAAGGTAGTTACTAGGCAGCAACATCCACTTTTATGACGCACCCACAGCGGAGAATATTTCATGTTATCCCACGGGTTCACATATTTTCTTAAGAATGTCACAAATTACTTATGATTTATACCGAAATTAACAAAAATATTAACTTACCTCTTTACCAAATAATGTTTAAAAAATAACAGAAATGTAAATATATACGCCGTTCACAACTAGATATGGATATTTATTAATTTGAAAAAAATTTAAAACAACGTAATTAAACTGTAAAGTAATGAAGATGCATTTTGGAAATGTATTGAACATTCAAATATAATATATATGAAGACTTGATGGAAAAACTCAGAATATATTGCTAAAGCTGATTCTTTACAGTTAACACTGTAGATTTTAACAGATCTTAAAAGCTTAAATTAGTAGAAGTACTACCTAATTTTTGTCTTTCTTCGGGTATTTAATATTAACTTCTGATCTATAGTGTCGTTAATATGTCATTATAGATTTGGAAAGTTGTTATTCTCGCTGCTTATCTTAGGTAACAGGCTTCTTTAATCGTTTGATCTCCTACAAAAATGGGTTTTATATCTCGCTATGATTGGTTCAACGTCATCAACAAATAATAAAACTTTGAGGACAGCTGCTGAGTAGATTATTTTATTTTTAAAAATTTAAAATAATTTACAAATAAAATAATCCACTCAACAGCTGTCCTCAAAGTTTTATTATTTAAGTAAAAAGTGGATTTCCCTCTCCTTTCAACGGTAGTCATCAACAAATGTTGCATTTCCGAAACTCAGCTGAACTTACACTAAAAACATTTGAATACCTTATTTTAAGGCAAATTTCTATCTTCAATTATGAAGACACAAACAAAAATTTAATGCGAAGGGTTTAGATAATATGTATATTAGTAAAAAAAGTATTTGTTACTGCCATTCGAAAAAGTTTACCAAATCAAGTATATGGGTTCCTAAAATTTGTACCACTTTCAAACTGAGTTGGAAATATTTAGAAATAATTTTAACGTTGTCAAGTGGCTGAGTTAGATATTCAAACACAGTATTGCTTTTGTTTGTTGAAATTCGCGCAAAGCTACTCGAGCGTTGCCTGTGCTAACCGTTTCTAATTTTGAAGTAATATACTAGAGAGATAGCAACTAGTCAGCACCATCCACCGCCAACTCTTTGGCTACTCTTTACCAACGAACCTTTAGAATTATAATGCCCCCACGGCTGAAAGGACGAGCATGTTCAGCGCCAGGATTAGAACCCGCGACCCACAGACTGCCATAACTACCAAGTCATGCCAGACAAAGGAAAATGCTTTAGAATAGTTTGATGTTGCTTAGTAGTCTTAGATTGTTATTTTCTTAACATTAACTTTGTTTTAAACTTACAAGACAATGACAAACATCCAAATACACAAATAAAAATATGTCATCTAATTTTTCAGTAGAATAAACGTATTAAATATATATATCATTGAAATAGTAGTAATTAGTTGACCTCATAAAAAGTGATTATGTGTCATGTGATTTTACAAATGAAGAAAATATTAAACACAGAGAGTTGAAAATTTCCTCGGAATATAGTTTTAAGGAAATATTATATACGAAAAACTCTGTATCTGGTAAAATTATTTGCCTTTGATCGAATTTCAGGGAGGGTACAAATATTATTGTAAGTTGCCAGTATCTTTGTTTTATCAGTACCAGCAATTACTATATGTTAGTAATAACTAAACATATAACTGACAAATACAGTTTCATTTTATCTTTGAAATAATTATTCGTGCTATGAACTTTTAAGGTTTTATAATTTCTCACCATTTCTTCGTCGGCGAGATCGTGCTTCTCGAATACAAAGCACACATCCCACAATTATCACCACTAATACAACGAAACTGGAAACAGCTATTGGTATAAGTATTTCTAAATCAACAATGAAAGCACTGTAATGGGGTTTCGGGACATCAATAGTTCCAGATATCGCAATTTCTGAAAAAAGAAGAAATGGAATAAAAGTGTTAAGATATTGACCTTTATTATGACATATTGAATTCTGTTCATGCACTTTTTTCAAAATGTATTCTTAAGACTTTATAAAAGTTCATATATAATGTACTTAACATGTTTTAAGTTTTTCTTCAAGATAATTGTTTACCTTAAATATTTGCTTTGGAATTGGTTATCCATCAGATGTAACTATATGTCATATCAAATACAACCTTTCTATTATATATTAGTTGTGTTTAATATCAGTATCTTTATTACTCTTTTTATTTTCTCAACTGTTTTAACCCTGGCACTTTTGTCAGAGAATTCTAACTTACTCGTGTGCATCTCACGTATGAAACTTTTCATTTGTGAGCATATAAATACAAATAAGTAACCACTGTGTAACTCTAAGAGCTCAGAAATAGTTCAACAGCATTGTAACTGTAAAATTGGTATATATAGTATGATTTGAGTTTAGACAGTGTTAAGTTAAACATATCACTTGTATTTTGTTTCAGGTAACATAACTAGGTCATCAATATATAAAGTGAAAACTGATAAAGTAAGGATAGACTAATGATAGTCTAGTTAGGAACTTTTTTGTAGATAGAAGAATTAGATTTAACCTTATAAATTCCGACTATTAGGTTATCATATTATATAGGGGGTATTAGAGTATTCTCGATCCAACCTCCCTTTTCAAATTCTAAATCTATTTTATTACTAGCAGGTTTACATAAATCATTCAACTTCACATTAGAAATAAAAAAGTAGTTGCTATGCCTTTATGTATTAACTTCTACCAGAAGTGTTGCTAAAATTATATGATGATAATTACAGTTAATAATGAATAGTCTTAATTATGATTAACAGGTAAGCTACAAATAAACACCATCAGCTGGGTACTCTCGCTATTAAATGTGTTTATAAAATTAATAGTCAATGTAAACAACACTATGCTCGGAAAAGTGTAATGTGTTGAGTATCAGCAGAGCTGTTGTATTTTTGTTTTTTGTTTTCTAATTTCGCGCAAAGCTACACTAGGGCTGTCTGCGCTAGCCGTCCCTAAT